TATAGATTCATGGGTGTGTAGCCATCTACTGGACCATATAAGTTCTTAAAACTGAACTCAAGACCAAGTCCTCCTATTTCTCATCCTCTCCTCTCTTTTCTCTAGCCTCTAACTGCTTCCATCAAGAAAATGAATGCATAAGACAACTTGAAGAAAAATGAATTTAATATACAAAAGTAAATTTCTCAAGAGTAAAACTGGACAAGAATACTGTTAACTTCAAATGGTTATTGCTGAAGCTCGTTTTAGATTTTAATCTCTTTTCATTTCTCCCAACTATCTTCTCATTAGGGAGTAATCTGGTTATTATGAAAATACATTTCATATGGATACATTACAGTTTATGAATTATTCACTATTTGATCCTCATAAAAGTGCCTTGAGGTAATGTAAGAACTAGCTTTCTGATTTTATGGATGAGCAAACAATGGCCCCAAAAGATCCTGCAATGCCTGGTTGGTAGCTGCTGAAGGCAGGACGGCAATAAAGATTGGGAAACTCCAGCTCTAGCTCTGTATCAGGGCCTGCAACAAGCTGTTTTCCAACAGCTACCCAAGGGCGACCTGGATAACTTTTACATTAGTAAAGGGTTTTCAAGCCAGCTTTTAGCTTCTTCATTACAAACAGACAATACATTTCAAATTTTAACACTTTGAGAGATATGGGAAAACAATTACAGATAAATATTATAGGTAAATGTCAACAGTTACTTTCATTTATTCAACATGCAGCAATTTGTTTCTCAATATTCTAAAAAAATGTAAGAGGCCTTCTTAGTAAAAGATTAAATCTATCATTTGATAGATGTATGTTTGTAATAACAGATGTATATATATGTATATGTATATGCATATGACAGATGTATGTATGGAATGATAAATGTATGTATGTAATGAAAGATGTATGTATGTAATGACAGATGTATTATGTAATGAGTAGGAACACCAGTTGTGTTAGAGAAACAGGAACCCTGGCATTCTGCAAGCAGAGTACAAATTGGAGAAACTTTTCTGGGGGAATTGGCAGCATATCAAAATCTTAAAAATGCACACTAACCCCTCACTTAGTTATTCCTTTCTCATTTATTCTAAAGAAATAATGGGCATGTGTAAAATGTGTTACATAGAGTAATAACACAACAAATTAATATGTGGATACTATGTGGATTGATTCAACTGGAGAAAATGAAAATATAAAATGTAATTTTTAAAACTAATACAAAAAAAATACAAGATCTATTAAGTGAGGGAAAACATATTTTAAAACAACATATAAGGTAGAATCATATATACACATGTACACACATACATAAATATGTGCCTAGGGTGTTTCATCAATATAATAAAAGTGATTGCATACAATAGCTTTCCATATTTCTACAGCAGAAGAAGCTGTTATACTTAACACATATATATATATACACACACATATACATGTTTAATTTGAATATATTAAGTCTATGGACAAGGACTAAATCAAATTTAATAACATCAGAGGGGTCTATAGCCATTATTACACAGGCACAGAGAGGAGCATTTAAAGAATAAAGAAATGTGCCTACAACAGAATGTAAGATGAGTCAGTGGAGATAACAATAGCAACTTAATAGGCAAGTGTAAGAAACAGAAATAAGCGTGGGGTAAATGGGTCATTTTAGTGACTGTCATGTCTTACATCTGACTAACAGAAGTTATTAAAATACACAGCTTTTAGAAATGAATCATTTAGACAACGTTTGCAGGAAAGCAATGGAGGTTTGCCTCATTGGAAGTAAAGGATATTTCTAGACAATATACAAGTCGTTTGCTACTGCACCATCAAGAGAGGCAGCAGAAGAGTCTCTGAGAAAACCACACCTCATCAACACCTACCACTCACACTCACCACAGCCAGAAAGTGACAACCAAGTCATAAAAGAGCAATTGGAAGGGTCTCCAAAGGGGAGAGAAGAAAAACATTTCCAGAAAATTTCAATAGTGTGACAGATAAGGAAAAAGAAATATGTCACTGTTAGACCACACTAATATGGCTGAAGTTTAAAGGCAGAGCCATGGTAAAAAATAAATAAGCAAGCAAACAAACAAAATTAAAAAATTAAATGATGGGATAAAATATATTAGACACATTATGGTAGTATATCTAAAATAAAATCTATCATTCTTTCCAAGATCCGTGTATTTCAGTATTTTGGGTTCCTAACTACCTTCTCCAATCCTCTCTTCATCCAGGTTCTCTAATCTACCTCTGCACTAACCTTGCCTCTGTTCAGAATGGAATATTCTAGATCCACTTCCAGATCCACCTCTTTCCTTTTACTAGAATCTCAGTTTGAAAATCACATCTTTGGGGGGGCCTGTCCCAGAATGCATGTCATACTGTCATACCTTTAAACTATTTAATTTCTTCTTTCCTCTGTGTGTGTGTGCGTGTGTGTGTAGACAGGGTCTCACTACACAACTCTGGCTGGCCTATGACTCATTAAGTGTGTTTATGATGAGTGTACTATAGGTACACAATAACATGTATGCATGTGCATGTGGGAGACAAGATATCCTTGGATACCATTCTTCACGTACCACCCCGTTTTAAAAAATTATCTTTATACGTATTTATAGTGAATGTGTGTGTATATCAGAGTACATGTGTGGAAGTCACGGGACAACTTAAGAGAGGGGGTTCTCTCCTTTAGGACCTGGGTCCCAAGGACAGGAGTCAGGTTTGTTAAGATCTATTTTTTGAGACAGGCCTGGAACTTACCAAGTAGGGTAGGCTAGCTTACCAGTTCACCTGTCTCTGCCTCTCCAGGGCTGGGATTACAAGCACAGACTAGCTTTTTCATGAATGCAGGTTCTCAGGCTTGTAAGACAACTTCACCATGTGAGCTACCCTCCAACACTGGTTATATAGTTCAGTCCGAGTAATGAGAAAGGCACACAGAGACCCTTACTTAGCCTTTGCCACATACAACAATGCATCTATTGCCCATGCCTAGAGTGCACACACAGACAGAAGGAGCATCTAGCTTCCCCTCCCCTAAAAATAATCTCACGGTTTCTCAGAAAGGGCTCACAGCAAACAATACAAGAGAAAGATCTAGATGTTGGAGAAAAACATGAAATTTTACTTAACTGTTTTTAGGCTTTTTTAAAATTCAGTTTTCTTGACAAATAGTAAAGAGCACCATCCCTAGGTTAAGGAGGAATAAGATAAATCTGCATGCCTGGAGACTTCCACTCTCCTGCTCTAAGATGTATTACTCTTCAAAGTACATCATGTTTCAATTTTCATGGCTCATGAGTCCCAGTGAGAAAGAACTTTACATAATAATCAATGTACACAACACACACACACACACACACACACACACACACACACAGGATCAAATACTATTTTGTGGCATAGATAGGCACAGTAGATGATAGCCAAGTGAAACCAAGAGCATAATCGGATAAATGATCTCTTGACACTCCCTTCTCTAAAGCAGAAACACAAGGCTACCAAATGGACAAAAGCATTGATTAGTTGGGATCTGATACTGAACACATTGTCTATTGGATTCTCCCATGTGCCTAGAAAGAAACAAAAAATGAGGCTTAGGGTTTATGAAGTAAAGTTTGAAAAGGTCTCTAGAGGGAAGAGGAGCTGATTAGGTAACAAAAAGGATTGCTGAACAGCAATGCGATGTGGGGGATGTCTCTGGCTACAGCTACACCCATCTGAAGGCAATGTTTTTGCTGTGTCTGGTCCACCACCCTCGAGTGCTGAGCGGACTGAAGATGAGTTAAATGGGACTCTGAGAGGTGAAGCCTTGGGAGGACTGACATCATTGAAAGGCTTATTTAACAAGCAAATCATCAAGCCCCATTGCTACTCAGTCACGATTGATGGCGGTGCTCGTGAATTCCAGAAGCTCTCCAAGTAACCCTGAAAGACATACCTGCTAAAACAGGGCCTGGAAAGTATGCAATAGACTGAGCCAGCAGACATCTATTATTAAACGGTCCTGGTAGGAGATGCAAGGTGGAACTCGACCACTTGTGAGAACAGACCCCAGTATTTAGGGAGATTCAGATCCAGTTAGTGTCGAGACATCACCTCCTCGTCGGTAGGAGGCTGCACCCTTGAAAAATGCAAAAACAAAGATGTACAATGCAAACTTATAAACTGCTTGTTCGAAATAATCCTCATCGGGTGCTCTTAGATTTTAAATTTTTCCCCTTTACTTTCTGCTACGTTACTCTAGGTTGAGGTTTTAGTGGCGCTGAGGTGGAAGTTGGGGTGGTGCAAGTAAAAAGGGAGGGCGGGAAGAGAGCTGACTGAGCTCAGCGAGATGAGATGAGGAGCTGAAGAGGGAAGGCATGGGGTCGCCTCTGGGTGCCCAGCCGCCCAAACACTTGAACACTCACTTACCAGGGCACAGGGCTCCTGCAATACTCACCATAGTTAGTGGATCTGAGCACAGGAAATAGTTATCTTTAGACAGGAAGACAACACCACCAATGATCCGGTTACTCTGGCAACATTAGCCCCGCCTTCCTCCAGACCCTATCCAACGCCGCCTCGAGGCCACTTCGTCTCCATTGGCTAGGAGTAATCACACCCCTCCCATTCTCGCAAAGACCCACCCTTTACCTCGTCGCCTGGGGTAACGCTCAACGCGATGCCACCTTCTCCCTTGCAACAAATCCACTTCCGTGTTCGGTTGCGAGTGAACCGGAAGCTCTAGCCTATATACGGCTATACGGCTGACTTTATCTATTGCTAATTTTTTTTTTTTTTAAGTACACATCTTTCCACTCTTCACTTACAGAGCCGACACATAGCCGACTCTTGTGTTTCTACATTTTTAAACAGCACCGGAAACGAGACCCTGAAGAACAGGAAGTGATTCGAGTGAGCCCGCCCCGTAGTTAGGTGTCCGGAAGGCCTGGGCGGGTCGGCTCCCGAATGCCAGAGGAGTTTTCAAGGTTCAGCTCCTGGGCGAGCCGGGAGCCTGCGGTGTGGACACTACAGTGAGGACATCAGAGGTAAATCCCGGAGCCGCCTTGTGTGGCAGACGCGGTGGGGACAAGGCGTCCAGCTTGGAGCTCGCCGCCCATGCCTGATGGGTTTAAAGATTGTCCTGGCAAGGTTTCTTCTGACAGGGACAAAGTTGGGATCCTCCTGCTCGGGAATGAGGCTGACAGTCGTGATGCTCCCACCCACCACCACCACCCCCCCCCCTTTAAACGCAGCATCACCCTCCCCACACCTTCACCAGGTGTTTCTAGACAGCGACACTCGCTGTTCTGCATCGCCTCTTCCCAGCCGAGTTTCTGACATTTTGATGTCGGTTTGCTCTTGGATAGAGAGTCTTGCAAGGATTTGGAATGTTCAGGAAGTTAGACCATGTTCTTAGTCGTAGGTAATACTGGAAACAGTCATCTTTGAGGGCGTGAGGTGAAGCCACTCGTCATGTACTCAACAGATTAAAGAATAATACAGAAAGCTATGCCTGATTTTCCAATATTTAGTAGATATACAGTTCCGCCTGTCAAGGGGAGATAATGAAGAATGGCTCCGTTTCTAAATGTGTGGATACTAAAGTCAGAAACAATTTTTAAAAATAACTTTTAAAGTAGAGGCACTTAATGAATATATTGGCATTGGTTTAATTCTTTAATATGTATACATTTCTAGGTCTTTGGTGAAAGTCTTGGAGTGCATTTTCGTTAGTTACAAAAACCAAAAATGGCAACTATTAAAAGCTTGGAAACCAAAGGTAAGTGTTCCTGTTTTGATGATAATTGGTTTGGTTTTTGGTTTGGGATTTTTTTTCTGGGGAGGGGAATAGGGGGGCATTTCGAGACACGGTTCTCTTTGTAGCCCTGGCTATCCTGGAACTCACAGAGATCCACCCCGCCCCTACCAAGGGCTGCGATTAAAGACAGACGTGCCCGGCCTTTTTTTTTTTTTTTTTAGAACATGAAATTTATCATGATATGAAGCGATTCTTTTGACAGGTGACTAAGTGGCACAGCTTCTTTGAGGATTATTTGTGTTTGAGGTCTCTTCATGTCAGTGGATCCTAACTGGGTTTTATCTTAGCTATTTACAAAGATAGTCTTTCCAAAAGTTGATCACATAGGGGCTAGAACTTTAACATAATGAAAATCTGGGGGCTCTGTTCTACCTATAGTGCTTCGTGTTTACAGTAGTCACTCTTGAGTCCTCCTTTGCTTTGCCTCTGTAATGTGTAATATGCCATTGATCATTCTCCATCTTTTGAAATTCTTCCATGACTTTCATGATGTCACTTTTATTTTCAGCATGCATTGTAGTATGGAAGTTTGGACTTAAATTACATTTTTTAAATCACAAACTCTCTGCAGACCAAGCTGCACAATAACAAATGTGCCGGTTCGCTGTTATTTCCAGTGTTGAGAGAAATCCTCATGAAGTGCTGCTCTAGTTTTATCTTGTTTCATTTTCATTCTCATCCCTGTTTTGTCTTTTATACTTTTTTTTTTTTTTTAATGTGTATGTTTGAGTGTTTTACCTGTATGGGTATATGTGTGCCACAAGTGTCCTTGGTACATACAGAGCCCAAAAGAGGGCATCAGATCCCCTAGAACTGGAGTTACAGATGGTTGTGAGTCATCTTATGGGTGCTGAAAATCAAACCCTGATCTTCTCAAAGAGCAGCAAGTGCTCTTAACCACTGAGCCATCTCTCCAGCCCCCAATATCAATATTTTTAAACCTTCTGTCTCATCTGCTTTCAGAACTTCAGCAACTGGTTACTTAATAGAAGTAATTTACAAATGTGTCACTATCCTAGATCATATTTGTTATAATTCAGACCCTACAGTCCACTCCCATTTACATACAGGTGAGAGTCAAAGCATATCCCAAAGTAAATTCCTCAGTTAGTGTACTCTGTGCCATCAACAGTTCTCTAAGAGAACTTCATAGGAGGCAGATTTCTAGAGGGTGAAATAGGAGGAAACAGGAGGCAAAGGTCATGCTAATAGGTAACTGCATTTAATTTATCAGTACAGCATCATATTGCGTTGCTAGAAGAGTTGTATAGCATTAGAATAAGCTGGTGAAAGGAATAGACTGGGAATGAATGGCAAATAAGAGCAATTAAATGATAGCTATTGTGAAAGCAACTAATACACTTGGCCAAAAGCAAAAACTAAATGCAGTATTACAATTACTTATTAAACTTTGCTATGAAAGGCCCCTGGGGAATGAAATTACTTTTATTGTTTGTAATAAGGATTGGAGTTAAAAGCATTTTCATATCATTTCATTTTATCTTGAGGAAGGCAGGTAACACAACTGTTTATTCTATTCTTACTACAATGTAACTGCTCTTAGTGAAAAAAGATGTTTGTGCTACATGGCCGAAGAAAAGGAATGCCTATATTTGATGTTGTCAGTTGTGTGTATTTCCTTTAACTGCCTCAGAAGAGAAATGTGATTGTTTAGTGTTCCAATAGAATGTTCTCCCAAACATGTAACCAGCACTGCCAAATAAGATGGGTGGATCATTACTATTAGGGCTCATCTCAAAAGCAAACCTAAAATAAACAATTTAATTAAAATTATAGACTTTTCTACATTTAAAATGTAGCTGTTAAAGTTAGTTTAGTAACCATATCATAAGGTCGTAGACATTTTAAATAGTTGCAAATCCTAAAACATCTGACTCTAATTCTATAGTATCATAAAGATAGAGTGAAAATGATTCTATAAGCAAATGAATTTGGAAATGCTGGCTTGAATTGGTTATACTAGCATTTCTCAGTGCTGTTGGAGCACTGGTGTGTACTGTGAAACTCCAGAGGACATGCATCATGCATGAGTGCACACACACATTTGAGAAGGCAACTCTTTATCCACAGTCTGTAGAAGAAAGGTCTGGATATCACCTTCATAAACGTTAAGCTGATTGTCTATAGCATATCTTTCTAATGTAATAAGTAAGTAAACTTTAGTAGGTGAAAATGGTGACATTTAAAAGAACATTAAAGCTTGGCCTGGTGGCCTAGGCTTGTAATTCCAGCTACTTGGGAGACTGAGAAAAGAAGATCACAAATTCTAACCTTATTTGGGCTATACAGTCAATTCAAGGCCGGCCTGAACAACCTAGTGAGATCCTGTCTCAAAATACAAATGTAAAAAAAGGACTGTGATACAGCTCTGTGGTGGACTGCTTGCTTGCCATGCACTAGGACCTTCAATTCCAGCTGTCCCCCACCTCCCAAAAAAGAATATTGTCTTAAAACTTACCAATTGACATCCCTGATTTAACTATTTCATTGTTTAATTTATATGTGTTCCAGAGAGTCTGGGACATTACAATATAATGGAACTAAGAATTAATGATTTAATGTAGAGGGGGAAACAAAGTTGCTTTTTAACATTTTTTACTAAAGGTTTTGTATATTTTGATAGATTAATAAACTTCATGAAGCACTTACTTTTCTTTTTAATAACAAGAACATTTCCTTAGCTGGTGAGATGAGATGGTAAGAGATATCTGTAACTAACTAAAGTAGCTTCCAGTAGTCTAGTTTGGAAAAGAAACAGATTTTTCTGAAATACTATAAGCACTACAGCCTTCTCCAAGGAGGTGAAGTTCATAACTGGCCTGAGGTTGTACCACAAGTGACCATGGGAACTTAGTATTATCTTGGCTCAAAAGTACTTAAAGTACTCTCCTCACAGATTTACACTGTCATTAATAAGGGAAATATTTATCCAATGGTGGCCTCTAAATCATGCTCTTTTTCTGTCTATAATCTAAAATAAAAATTGGCAAATTTTGGCCATTTAATGATTATAAACAGTAACTGAATCCCATGGCTTTGTCTTCTCATATAAGTACCTAGAGACTGTCTTTAATTTTACCCCATCATCCCTGAAGCCTAAAATGTTTACTCTCTGGCCTTTTACTGAAAAAGTTTGCCAGTCCCTATATAGAATGTTAGACTAGTGATTTTTGCTCCCCCCCCCCGTCCCTGCCCTGCATTTCACTAGTCCATAGAAAGCCAGTATAAACAAACAAACAAACAAAGCCATAAACCTTGGATCTGTTTAAATTGATTAATGCATGATCACAGGGAAGGGATAATACAGGGATGCTGGTTGCTTCCCTTCAAGGAATTGAGAACAAAGATTGAGGCTTTGCTTTATTCATCGTTATTCATAATGACAGAGCTGGTCCATAGGTTTTTGTCTGAGAATTTGAAGGATGTAATTACTCGTGAATGTGCCCTACATGGCCTAGTACATATGTAATAAAGGTTTCTATGTGTGTCACTGGGAAAAAATAGAATGGTAAGAAAATATGAAAGGTAAGAAAATGCAAAGCTCTGCCTTTGCCTGCTCAGCTTCATGATAACAAGACCCAATGAGTTGTTTCTGATAGCCAGCCATGAATTCATAAGTAAGTAGAACAGTTTAAAGTTAAGAGTAAATTGGAATTAAAAGTTTGTTGAAATTCTTGACTGGAATTTTGAATGTTTTGTTTGAAAAGAATTACCTGTCGAATACACATTGTATCTTTGCCTTTTAGCAAATTATGTGTTGTATCATTGAATCTTTATTGTTTGAAGTTCCTTTACTTAAATTTTTCCTTTACCTAACAGTATTTAAACTCCTACATCAAGTATAATTATGATTTGTCTAGGAATCCATTTTGACTTGAACCATAACCAAAGTATCAGACCCGCTTCTTATTGGCCAACCTCAGTGGGCTGGAAAGATGTGACCTTAGTGGCGAATTTATTGTTGTTTTTGTTAGTTTACAGTTAATATATGATTCTACATTCTTAAATACTAGAAGCAAGACAATTAGCAAAATGAAATACATTTGATAAAATTAAACAAACCTAAAACCAAATTTCAAGAATATGAAAACACATCAACCACAGTGCTGTACCAAGAGGTAGAGGCAGGAAGAACTCCAGGTGGAGGTTGCCCTGGGCTACATATTAGCTTCAGGACCAGCTTAAGTTACTCAGTAAAGCCCTGTCTACATACATCCATACACGAGTGGTTCTTTATTTTTAAAGGGTTGTGTACATTCTCCTTGTAAAGTGCTGCTGTTTCCCAGCATTCTTTAATACCAAACCCCAGTCTCACTAATTCAAAAATTAGTTCCAAAGCCATGAGGGTGTTTTAGCTTGTATCACATATTAAAATGGCATAATTTTATCCTAATATAAAATGTTTTGTGAGACAGAATACAATTTACACCCCCCATATGTAACTCAAGTCACAATACATTGATAGATACAAAATAGAACAACAAATCTATGAAATGAAATGTCTTATATTCCAGTGTTGTAATTTTAACACTTGCACAAGAGAATGAAAGTCGGAATTATTATTATTGTTTTTTTGTTTTGTTTTGTTTTATGTTGGTAAAGCATACATTTTTTTCTTTTTCCTTTTTTATTTAAATTTGAAATAAGGTTTTATATGTCAATCCCAGTTCCCTCACCCTCCCATCCTCCCCTATCACCCTCACCAAACCCCAGCCCATCCCCTTTCTGCTCCCCAGGGAGGGTGAAGCCTTCCATGGGGAGTCTTTAAAGTCTATCATATCATTTGAGGCAGGGCCTAGGCCCTCCACCATATTTCTTTGCTGAGAAAGTATCCCTCTATGTGGAATGGGCTCCCAAAATCCATTCATATACTAGGTATAAATAATGATCCATTACTAGAGGCCCCATAGACTTCCCAGTCCTCCTAACTAACACCACATTCAGGGGGTCTGGGTTGGCCCTGAAAGTCAGAATTATATTCTGTGATACTAAGCAAACTTTCCTTCTCCCCATTATCAATAGCCAATGTTTATTAATTTCATAAAAGGACAATAACAACAAAAATAAAAGGACATTTAATGAATGTTTATCTACACACCACTATTCTCAATGTTTCACATGTATTCTTACATGTATTGTTTAAATGTTAGGTTTTGAATATGCAAAAACCAAGCAAATCTAAAGATACAAGAAATAGACCTAGTGATACTGAGTAGTAAAGTGACTTCTGAAAGGTTGTTTGATGATACAGATCTTCACTACACACATAAGTCCTATGCTATATATTTAGTTCTTCTGTGGTTTTTGTTTGTTTGATTGGTTGGTTGGTTGGTTTGGTTTGGGGGTTTTGTTTTGTTTTTGTTTATTTTGTGCTCCTGGGGATCTAGCTCAAACCTCACATGTGCTGTTAACTGATTTTTAGTTCTTTTTTTTTCTTTTTGTTTGAGACAGGCTCTTAGTATCAGCCTTGGCTGGCTTCAAACTAACTGCCTTTGCCTCAAATGCCAATTGCTGGGATTATACACATACACTATTACACCCAATTGGAAGTTTATTTTTAAAAAAAATTCAAAAGTTGTATATCATAAAACTGTTCATCACTACATTACTTTTGTTAAGCATGTACTCTACTGCTAAGTCCCAGCACCCATATTATCACATGGGTGTGTGCTTGCGTACAGGCATGTGTGCATGCCTTAGGGTGTGGGGGGGGGGTGTGTATCTCCTATTTTCTATATTAGATAACATCTTAAGCACAGTGATCCACACTGTCTCACAAAGTATCTGGCCTTTTTTATTTGCCCGGTACTATGTTTGTAGTGTATGACCTCTTGCATTTCTTTATAGCCATTGCTACTGACTACTATGTTCTTTTGTCCTTACTGTACATTATGGGTTGATTGTTATTTGTGTATCTGTTTAATAAAGCATACAAGGCATTTTACTAGACTCATAATACATGTAAAATAAATTTAAAAACCACAAAGGGCATATGACCCCAGAAAGATAATGTAAAGGTGACAAAAGTGAGGTTTAAGAGTCTAGTTTCACAGCCCAAACAGTTTCACTAGTTTAATTTTTACCCTTTTGGTGTAAAAGTAAGATGCTTTTCCTAAGCATGTTTCCAGTGTATCATACACAATGCTTTTCTCTAACCCTGTGTAAAGCATGAACACAGATGAATCTATAATGAGGGACATAGATAGCTGATATATATTGTCATATTTAACATCATTGATTGTCCATAATATGTCAGGGCTTGATCTTATTACATTCCTGCTCATCACCACTCTATGGCCTGGCTGTTACTGTTTCCATTTCATATATCTCAATGTAGAAATCAATAGAAGAAAGTTATTTTTCTAGGATTATATTGCAAAATGGAAGTCAAATAAATTTTCTTGGATTTTCTACTAAGAAAGGAGTATTTACTTAAGGAAATTTTAAGCATGTAAGTCTTTATTCATCTTTCATTGATGCATGATGTTTTAGAAATTACTCTTGAATTTGCTTTCCATTCCTTTGCTGCTGATACTGTAGAACAGAGGGCAAAGCAGTGTTGTTTGGCAAGACTTTTCATGGAGAGATGCAACACATACCTGCTTACTCCAGATAGGGAACCCATGACAGACCAAAGAATGGACACTACCATAGCCCTTCTTGGTAACCAGTCAGTTTTATTGGGCACTTAAAGGAACAGAAATGACTCAAAGACAGCTGCGTCACCAAAGACCACACCCCAGCACAGGTGACAGCTCCCAAAAGCTGGGAACCTGGAGCACACTGCACAGCCTGTAGGCAGGTCAACAGGTTGGAGAATGATTTTTCCAGGTGTCTCAGTTGTTGTAAGCCTCCTGCAGGCAGCCTGGCTGGTTTCTGCTTCTTCCAGGCAGCTGGTCTGGTCTCTAGTCTTGGTTTGGCTCCTCTGAGAGGGCCTCTGAACTACCTTTATCATTTACTATTGGAAGGGAGGGGCCTAGTGAGTCTGGCCATTTTCAAGGGCTTCCTCCAGCTGTTTTGAGTTGCTTCCCTTCTGGCTTCCCTACAGAAGGGAGTATTTCATCTGGAGGGAACCTGCTGTATAACAAATAGTCTTGGCATCTTCTTGTCATGTCTTTTGGTAAATTGCCCTTGGCTGACTTCTTCCTTAGGCATCCTCACTTCCACCCCAATCCGAGGAGCAGGGGATGGAATGGAAACAGAGGAGCCCCCTAAGTCTGTTGAAGTCAACTCTGAAGTCCAGCCTACAAATCAGCATGTCCTTCAGAGTCCACGTAAGAAAGTTCCCTCAGACAGCCCAGGAGTTCTCCAGCTCGGGAAGATCCTTACTGAGAAAGCAGTGGGAGTGGAAGCCGTGAGAATATTTGTTCCCAAAGCTGCCATCTCTCATGATATCCCCGGCAAAAATGCAAGGCTGAAGTCTCTAGGCCATCACCGAGAAGAAGTCCACCCTCAGCCAGAGGTAGTCACAGACCCCAGGAAGGAACTCTCAGAGGCAAAGAAGGTTTTAGAAAAGCTCAAGAATTCTGAAAGGAGGCTACTTCAGGACAAAGAAGGCCTTTCAAACCAGCTCCGAGTACAAACAGAGGTAAGCACGGCCCATAGCTTCTATGAGTTCCAATCTTTACCCCTGGACCTTTTAATTCCATGCTAGAAAAGTGTGTTTCCTCAGAAACATCATTTATCATGGATTGTCATTTCTCTAGAATGCTTCCTCTTGAATTTCTCATCTGCCCAAGGGCCTCTAGAAAGAGTTTATGTTGGGAACTCAGACTCTAGACGTGGTGGGAGTGGAGGGGCTAGGAGCTCTAGACAAGACCACCTCTAGGTTATAGAAGTCAGTTACATTCATAAACTGACTAAGTCTGTCTTCGCCATTGGCAAATTAGCAGTCCTTGTTTGAAGAATTCCTTCCAAGTATTTTTGCCAGATACAACTGCACAATTATCTATATTTTGTTAATTTTGTCTTATTTCTGGTGTTTTTCTTGTCTTAATTTTTGCCTTTTATTGGAAATAGATTTCTTTTCCACATAATATATCCTGACTATAGTTTCCCCTCTATCTATTCCTCCCAGTTCCTCCTCTCCTCCCCCCCTCCCCAATTTGTATCTGTCCCTTTTCTGTTTCTCATTAGAAAATAAACAGGCTTCTAAGGAATAATAATAAAATAAAAGACAAAAACTAACACATTGGAGTAGGCTTCAAAGGACACAGAAATAGATTCTCTGTCATAATTTTGTTACAATCAAGTCCGTGACATTTCTTAAGCTTATTGTTTTGGTTGTCTTCATCCTAGATAAATCGTGAGTTAAAAAAGTTGCTGGTGGCTTCTGTTGGAGATGATCCACAGTATCACTTTGAACGTCTAGCCCGAGAGAAGAACCAGCTCATCTTAGAGAATGAAGCACTAGGTCGAAACACAGCCCAGCTTTCCGAACAGCTGGAACGGATGTCAATACAGTGTGACGTGTGGAGAAGCAAATTCCTCGCAAGCAGGTACTTTTCTGTTGTAGGTAGCATTTGCTACCCTACAGTTTGTTCTGTCTGTCACTTTTTTGACTCATAACAAAAGGATAGTGAAAATTTCTGACTAGAGATGCTATAGTGCTTACTACATTATTTAATGTGCAGCACTTCCCCTCTGAAGGGCCACACAGTCTCTTAGAGAGGTGATACATGGTCCCTCTTTATTCTAAAACTCACTCATACTACAGGAAACAAACACAGCTGTAAAATCAAATATGGGAATATTGCAGCCACAAAAGGCAGGTGTGTGGACTCTCCCCCTCCTACCTGGAGAAAGCAACCTCCTTTCCACTCCTAGGATAGTGTTCTCCTCCCAGCATACTCTGTTCTCATAGCTCTTTTATCCATGTAAAGAGCTTTCCAACTTTCTTCTTTCCAACAGGAGATTGTTTTGTTTTATGCTGTATATGAGGCAACTCTTACACATGTAAAAAGCTGCAAGACCTCTGAACATGCTGATTCTTGTGAAATTCTGCCATGTATCTTGGTTCTTTGTCCATTTGTCTCCACCTCCACTTAGCTTTTGCATTAATAGAAACATATTTTAGACACTGTCTGTCTAACTAAGGGTTCTGCTGCTGTAAGGAAACAGCATGACCGAAAACAACTTGGGGAGGAAAGGTTTGTTTCAGCTTACTCTCAGGCTATGCTCCATCACTGAGAGAAGTCAGGGCAGGAACTCAAAGTGTCAGAAATATATGCTGCCTATTGACTTTTCCTCATGGCTTCCTCAGCCCCAGGACCACCTGCCCAAGGCACTGCCCACAGTCATCAATCAAAGAAACGCCCCCACAGGCTTGTTTATAGGCTACTCTTATGAAGCATCATCTCAGTTGTGGTTCCCTCTTCTCAGATAACTAACTCATGTCAGGGTTACAATAAACTACCCAAAACACCGTGTGCAGCAGCAGAGCTTCACGTGTTTAATCAGTGCTTATTTAAAATGAATCATCTGGAGATTTCTCTCAAAGCACCAAAGGTCTCCAGGCTATAAAGAACCTCTGATTGTGAATAAGTTGTAGAATAGTATTTCTTCATGCAGTGTATCTATGATATTTTCTAGTAGTTGAGTACTTGAGAGGTCTGTCATTTATGGTGAAAAAATAAAGCAAAATATAGAAATTTTGTAATAATTTTTTCCTTCTAGTAAACACATTCCATATGTTTACTTTTTCACATATTCATGTTGAAATATGTTTAAATTATTTTTTTGGAAAAAATAAGAAACTTTATTGGCTACGTAAAAGGAGAATGAACCTACTTGGCCAGGGGAAGACCACTTTGTTTTATAGAAATTTTATAGAAAAATTTTATAGAAATGTTTCAGTATTTTCCTGAATGTACAGTTGACTAGTGAGAAAAATAATTTACTTTTTCTTCTCCTTTCAGTTTTTTTTACAGTTAGCAGTGTGTATTTAGTAATTTTAAACTATCAATTTAACATTGGTATAAATTTAAGTCACTATATAAAAAAGTTAATTACTCCTCTGCCACTTAAAAAATATTTCAGCTGATCCTGCTTCAGAAGCTCTGCATGTTAAAGTGTTCTCAGTTAACATGCTAGAACTGTGAGGCAGAGCAAGTGATTTAAATCCTGTTGTTAGTTTTTGAAACTGGCATTCACAGAGTAGCAATAGATTAACTTCTGTGTGCTGTAGTACCATGGGGGAACTGTGTGTGCAATTTCATTTTTTTCAGGGTAATGGCAGATGAATTAACGAACTTCCGAGTAGTTTTACAGCGTCAGAACCGAGATGCCCAGAGCGCCATACAGGATCTCCTGAGTGAACGGGAGCCGCTTCGCCAGGAGATGATCTCTACCCAGAAGTATGGCTCTTGTTCACATTCTGAATTCTACTGTCATCTCCTGCAGGTTTCGCTGTTGGGAATGGTTTCGATGGATTGTTTGTTTCAATGTGGCCATATTTTTTAACATACTGACTATATTCTGAAAGTCATACTTTAACATCGATGCTCTGAAAGGAAGGAGCCCTAAAAACAGAAAAGATGGTGCTGCATCTTACATTCCTAATAGGAAAAAGAATTATTAGATCTGTGAGTGAGGGTATTTCTGCATTTAAATGTAATTCCTGGGTATAGTTATAGTGGCTTTGTGTAGTTTGGATAGAAGCCAAGTGACATACATTTTTCTCCCACAGGAGATTTTGAAGTCTTTTTGCAATGATAGAACATGTCTATATATCTTTGCATTCCTGAACTAACAGGCTGAAATCTTTAAATATATATATATATATATATATATATATATATATATATATATATATAATAACAATAAACACATGGGCAGTGTTTCTTAAAAGGTCTTTGTACTTTCATGTAATTATATGGGAAATTTGAAGAGTAAAGCAAAATATATTGAAGTATGGAAATTTGTTAGAGGCAATTAAGGTAGTGTTTCAAGGGAAATGCTTGTTTCAGTCTGGCTGTGATGGTATGTACCTGTAATCCCATCACTTGGGAAGCTGAGGCAGAAGTACATGAATTCCAGGTGAGTCTGGGCTGCATAATAAGATCCTATAAAAAAAAAAGGCAGGTTTTGAGGGCTGGAGAGATGGCTCAGAGGTTAAGAGCACTGACTGCTCTTCCAGAGGTCCTGAGTTTAATTCCAAGCAACCACATGGTGGCTCACAATCATCTGTAATGAGATCTTCTGGCATGCATACATGCAGGCAGAACACTACTGTACATATAATAAATAAATAAATAAATCTTTAAAAAAAAAAAAAGGCAGGTTTCTTTGGTGAAATAAGAGCAGTCTCATTAGTAAATTAAGTTACTACTCCAAGAAATACAAAATCAAATTAAATAGAAATGAGAAAGAATACTAATGATAATGGCTAAAACAATTTTTTGATGAAACTTTTTTTAAAAAGATAAACTTAAGAGATACGTGCCCCTGAAATGGCAGTCACGGAGCCTGTGTGCATCTGTGCTAGGTCCCTCTACATACACGCTGTGGTTGTTGTTTAGCTTGGTGCTTTTGTGGGACTACTAACAGTTGTTGGAGTACGTGTGTCTCTTACTCTCTGGCTGCTCTTGGGACCTTTTCCTCCTACCAGCTTGCCTCGCTCTGCCTTGACATGAGGGTTTGTACCTAGTCTTACTGCATCTTGTTAAGCCATATCTGCGATATCATAGGGAGGCCTGCTCTTTTCTGAAGGGAAGCAGAGGAGCAGTGGATCTTGGGAAGAGGGAAGGAAGCAGTGGTGAAACCAAGAGGAGTGGAAGGAGGAAAGGCTGCCGTCAGGTTATATCGTATGAGAGAAGAATAAATAAGTAAGGAAAAAAGTTCTAGCCAATCCACTGAGGAAAGATGGTGCATATTAAGTGTTGGAAATGAAAGCCTGTACACACTAGATTGAGTAGACACACAAAGATAGTAAGGGAATGTTATTGATACCTCTAGCCAATCAAGTCAGTGATTTAGATAAGCTTCGGATATATTTCCAGAGGCTACTTTAAAACAGGTATAGGAGGGCTGGAAATGGTTCTGCAGGTAAGAATGTGTGCTGCCCTTGCAGAGGACCTGAGTTTCATTTTCTACACCATGCTGGGCAGCTTATAACTACGTGTAACTTAAGCTCCAGGAGATCTGACACCCTCTTCTGAGCTCTGTGGGCACCTGAACTTATGTACACATACCTGACACACACAAATAGTTTTAAAATAGATCATAAAAAATAGATAATGTAAGTTAATAGCCCTAATCCATTAAAGCAGTTAAACTTGTAGTTAAGAACCACACGAAGGAAATTCTAGCCTAGATAGATGGATCCACTGAATGTTGTTATGTATCTAGAGAAAGACACACAATTGTACACAAGTTCTTCTAGAGCATAGAAGAAAAGAGAACAATTTCCAAATCATTTGGGAGGGGGTGAACATTGTAATAACAAACTAGAGATATAAGCAAAAACCAGTAGACTTTCTATCTTTAATGAACATGGATGTAAAAATCTGTATAGAATATTAGTGGATCAAACTCAACAATATAGAAAATAGTTTATACAATATGACCAAGTTGAGGTAACTCCAGATATTGGACATTGAGTTACTATCTAGACATCAATAATCAGATACTATTACATTAAACTGTACTACTTGTTTTCGTGCATTCCAGGTAACAACGTAGCAGTAGATTAGCCAGTTACTTATGCCCCATAACCTATGTGACCAGGCAGCCTGAGACTTGAACTGCCTGAGACTTGAACTCTGAGCAGAGATGTTAAATGACTGCTGAAATATGTTGCTGACTTCTTTCCTCTTACTGCTTCTTACTTATATTTTGTCTTTATCAGAGTTTGTTGCTCACGTGCTCACGTGTGTTCTGTGCAGGTTGTTGGAGGAACTCTTGGTCTCCTTACAGTGGGGAAGGGAGCAGACGCACCTCCCTAACACACAGCCCCACAGCACAGCAGGGCTAGCACTTGCGAACCACAAATTGGCAGAAGCTGTGCATGCTCATCTTCTGGGAAATGTCGGCATTAGTAATCAAAAGAAGATTCCAGCAACAGTAGACTTCTTCAGTACCCCAGCTGAGAAAATGGCTGAAAAGGTAACCTGTTTGCTCTTCCTGGGCTGTGGAGTGAGTTTGATGAGCTATGAGATTTTGTTGACCCCTTACTGAAAGCTATGTGTTGTGCTTATTTGGCATTGGGAGTTTTAGAATGTGGAGCCTCAATTTATTTTCGGTGTTAATAAGAATGTGATCTTTGAGCATATTTCTCCTTTGACCCTTAAATTTCCTAACAGTACTACTCTGTTCTAAGGAGAAAACCACCTTCTATCACAGCCAGGAGTCTTGCATACATGCACTTACATGTCACTCAGAGTCCTCTAAACATCCATCCTCTGTTGTCAGAAAGTTTCTTACAAATGTCAGTACCGTCATCAAACAGCTTCTACTCCTGCCTCCCTGAATGAATTATTTCCTAGAGCATAGAAGGCTCATTGTAATCTTTCCTTCCATCCCCTTCTCAGGGGTGACTTCTCAAATCCCACTCCTCTTCTAGTAGCATTTCACAGATAGACTGTTCCTCACGCCACCCTCTCTGCCCACTCTTGCACCTGCCCACACGATTTTCAGTCACCTTATTGTCCAAGCTTTCAGTGCTCTGTATTCCTCTCACCTATAGCTCTTGCATTGTGTTGTTATTGTGTAATTCTCTAACTCTACTTAAAGTCTGGGAAATATGGCTTATGTTTCCTCATGGGCTGGTATGATGTTGCACATTGTAGGTACTCAGCTACTTACTAAAAGGATAGTGCCTAAAAAGTAACCACCTGCTCGAAGCCTTGTTTGTTCTTTACTACTGTTTCTTTGCTGTGAGGTTATGTCACTGTGTACTCAGCTGCTGTCAGTATCTTTGAGGGTAGCTGGCTTGCTTTGGTTTCTGTGGATACCCTCCACCATCCTGTCTTCTCTGCCCTCTGCTTCATTGTGCAACGTTGGGTGTGCTCCAGACCTGGTCTGGCTCTGCTGGTTCTTCTGCTCTTCCCCCTGCCCCATTCCTCAAGAAACAAGACTGGTAGCCCGTTCTCTTTGCATGCTGCATGACCTTCCAGCCCCATTGCTTCAGGAGCTGGCCTTTCAGAAAGAAATGCAGTGACTTCATCTCTGTTCTTCCTGTATCTGCTTTAAGGCCCGCCCATTTCTTTCCTACATGATGTGTTGCAGGATCTCTGCAAGGCCTAAAATCCACCCCTGTCATCTTAAGGCTGAAGTCTAGACTTCCTGCCATATCTCAGTCTCCTACTGAATTCCTTTAGCATTTTATTTTTTTGATTTAAAGGCCCATAGTGTCATAGCATATGCCATACTTAGAAACCATTCTTTTTCTCACAAAATGTATAAGCAACATTGCTCCTTCTGTCTTTGATTGTCATCTAATATTTAACTAAATTCCATAAAAATAAAAGGTTTAAAAGCTAAATTTTAAAAGTAAAGAGTAGTTAACTTCATTTTTCTGTTTTTATTCCTTCTATAGATATATGTGAAAGAATATTAGTTTCATAGTTACTAAAATAAAGGTGGTTAATGTCACAACTAGGCATCATTGCTCAACTTAAAGTGTTTTGGAAGAAGATTCATTCAGATGTTATTTTTGATCATAGTGCCATGAATAAAATGTAGTTGTGTGTCAGTGAAACCCAAGGCCTTTACATTGTGTGCTACATAACCTGACATGATTTCTTTTGGCTTAGGTTCTACGTATTTTGGATCCAGTTACCTGTACAGAAAGCTCACCAGACAACCCATTTTCTGAATCTTCACCAACTACATTACTCACTACAAAGAAAAATATTGGACGTTTCCATCCCTATACCAGATATGAAAATATAACTTTCAATTGCTGTAATCATTGCAAGGGAGAACTCATTGCTCTTTGATGTGTCGTGTATTGAACATGAACTTAGTACCCAAGATTCATTATTTGGGAGCGGGGGTTCTTATGACACTAGAAATAAAACTAATTCATCTTCATATAATATATATCCACAAAAATATTTCATGTACTAGTTTCCAGATTATTTTTCTTAAGAAATATCTCAGGGTAAGAAAAAGTAAAGCTATGTAATAGCTATACTTAAAGTACAAAGTACTTCCCAGAGAATTCACAGTGTTTGTGCTTAAAAAAAAAAAAAAAAAAAAAAAAGTAAAGATTTTATAACTTTCTTTTAGGCCCTAAATTATTATTCTTCATTATATATTTTCTATAAACTGTAAACAGGTTTCATCTTGTGCATAAAACAAAAACAGGTCAACTACAACCTTGCATTAGATGTGGCCATGCCCATCCCTTCCCTGTGACTTAATCTGCTTCCCAGCACAGCATCAGTGTTCAGTGTGGGGCTAGCAAGCCCATTCCTTTATAGGGCATTTTTGCTAGTGTAATAGCTGGGGGGAAAGGGATTTGCATTCCCTTTGTGGTTACATTTGGGGTATAAAAGAGGCCTTCAGAAACATTTGGGTAAAGGGATTAATCTTCCTAAACAAATATATTAGGAAAATAAAAAATATTTTTAACTTAAACAAAAGTGTTCCATGCTGTTTGTTTTTTGCAAGGTGTTCTGTCTTCTGTATGGTTGCAGTTGGACAACCTAAAACAGGTTCCTAATTAATGACTCAGGTTGACACTTGCAATACAACAGGAATATCTAGTTTGATAATATAATGATGGAAAATGAGTTTCTAAGGAAAATGTAATCCATTAATTTACATATATTATGTAATATATTACTATATAATGTGTCTTAAGATGCCCTTTTGTTAACCTTTAATTATTCACAAAAATCTGTCACCAAAAAATATACCAAATTTTAAAAATTACCAGAGAAATCTTCAAAAAGCAAATCTGGCCAAATTAAAATACACTTTAGTATTAAACCTGCTATTTCTTGTCTGTCTCATCTGAGTCATGTTTATAACTTTCAGTGGCAATAAACTTCTGTATTTCCTTCTTGTACTTGGTCATTTTTCCTTCCAGAATAATGTACTTTGGCTTCAACCACCATGTGGCTTTTACTATTATTTATAGCTGTTTTGTTGCCTTTTCCTTTCTGTTCTCATAAACTCCTTAGAAAAAAACAGAAATGTTCATGACATCAAATTTGACTGTGATTTCTTGGGTATAACAGCAAAAGCACAAGAAATGAAAAAGTAAATCCCATCAAAGATTAAACATTCATGCATTGAGGTACATGGTAGCTCTAAGAATTTGAGGGAAAAGAATGAATAATACATCTGAGAAATGGCCAGAAGATACACAAAATGCCAATTCAACAATGGGCCCAGTGAGAAAAGGGCAGAGGCTGGAGAGATGCCTCAGTCTGTAGAACACTGGCACACAAGCTGAGAACCCATATCCTGATCGCCAGCACCCATGTAATATGCTTTCATGCAGCTGTGCACATCTGTAACCCCAGCACGCATGGAGCAGGTAGGTGGGTTGAGTTCACTGAGCAGTCAGTCAGTCATCCAGCTGAATGGATGAGTTCCAGGCTACCTGAGAAATCCCATCTCATATGGACATGTACCACTTACTTGCAAAGCATGAGCAAATTATTTAGCCACCTAAAATATACATATACGTTTGTATATTTATACAAATAGCAAATAAGCACATCAAAAGATTGTCAACATCAGTAGTGAATAAAATGCAGTTATGTCCATTTTCTTGTAGACAAGATGACTATTAACAAAATAGTAGGATGGCTATTAACAAAAAAGCAAGACAGCAACTGTAGACAAATCTGAAGAAACCTGGAACTTCTGTGTTTACCAATAGGAGTATAAAATGCAGCAGCCATTGAAGACCACATGGAAGCTTCTTGGGAGCTTCTAAACATGTGGCCTGGATCATCATTCTCCTAGGTGGACAGATAGCCAAGAGAACTTGGAAGTTGTTGTAGACTCTTGTCCACCAGTTTTTGTAGCAGTATTGTTCATGATTGTCAAAAGTTAAATATAATCTTTTTTTGCTTGTTTGTTTTGTTTTGTTTTTTGAGACAGGGTTTCTCTGTATTGCTTTGGAGCCTGTCCTGGGACTACCTCTGTAGACCAGACTGGCCTCTTAACTCACAGAGATCCAGCTGCCTTTGCCTCCTGACTGCTGAGATTAAAGATATACACCACCAATGCCTGGCTCTAGATATAATCTTAATATAGTAAATAGTTAGGTAATTAAAATCTATAGGGTAAGGAATACATTCAACGTCTCAAATGCCCAGTTGATGCATGCTACAATTTAGACACATGTTACATGAAGTAGGCTAGATGCAAAAGGACAAATACTGGTTCCGGGGTCTGGAGAAGGGCAAGAAGGGGCATTTAAAAGTTAAACATTTTTGTTCATCTTTTTTCAATAATAAGTGAGTGGAAAATACTACAAAGTGACTCCTATTGAACTTCTATTTTTCTAATAATAAGAAATGAAAAGAGTCCATAAATTTGGAAGGGGGATGTGGTGAAGGGAGGATCAGGATGAGTTTGAGGAATTGGATGGGAGGTAGAGATGATGAAAACACATTGTGTATATGTATGGAATTCTAAATAAATAAGTAAAAAATACAATAAAAGTTCCAATAGTGGAATGACTTAATTATTTCTCCAGAGACGATTCACAAATGACCAACAACCACACATTGGGACCATGCAAATCTGTTAAATATCTGTGAGACTACATAGAAATTGAGCTCTCCATAACCAAAACTGTAAAATAGTGTGTCTGCTGTGGGAACACTAGTAAACTGTACATGCTCTATACACTACATCCTGTCTGCAGCACATGTCCAAAAGAAAACACTTAAATACTTGAATATATGGGGCATTCACAACATCACTACTCACCACACCCAAAAAATAGAAATGCCCCAAATGATGAATGTTACACAAGCTTTCTTTCATAAAAAGAAATTAAATAGTGATGCATGATATGTTGTGGATGAGCTTCCAAAGCACTATCCTAAGTGGAAGAAGCCACATATAAAAGATGTTTTTAACTATGTGAAATTTCTAGAATAGGTAAATCCATAGACAGAAAGCACATAGTACCTGCTCAGAGGAAGCATGGGGCAAGTTGTCTCTCAAGTGGCTGGTCACAGGGATGGGCTACTAGGAGTTATTGAAGAGTCTTGGAACTACATAGAGTTGGGCTGTATAATTTAGGAATATACAAAATGCTGTTGGACTATGGTTTAAAAGAATTAATTTTATATGAAATTCGCCTTTATAAAATTATAGGGGAAAAAAGGGCCACTAATTATTTTTGTCTTACTTTCCCAGCTAACCTACATTACAATGCTTCTATACTATTAAATATATAGTAGTATGTTTAGCATTCAGATATATTACTACTTCCTCCTGCTCTCAAATCCAACCTTAAGGCTTTTCCCATTTCTTCCTAAAATAAAATATTTCATTTTCTTAAAAATTTAGTAAACCAATTACTCTAGATGAGGCAAGTAGAACTTTGCATTTTTTTTCACAAATATCTTTACTCATGAGTCAAGTATTTAGATGCCATTCAATTTTGCTCCTAAGTCATACCACAATCCTATATGAAGTATTGTACAATATGCATGTGGCTGTCAAAACCAATTGTAATGAAATGTAAGGTGGTTTGTGTTATGGGTTGTTTTTCCGCCAGCCTGTCTGGTCTGGTCCCACTGCCATGCCAGCCCCAATAACACACAGAGACACTGTATTAGATATAATTCTGTTGGCCTGTTACTAGTTTCTTATCTGCTGGCTCTGTCATAATTATTAACCCGTTCCTATTAATCTAAATATTTCTACATGGTCTCATCTTACCAGAGAGAAGGGTTGACGTTCTTCTCCCACCGTCCTCCATCAATCTACTCCCTACCACTTCCAGATTCCTTGTTTCCCTGTCCCACCTATCTTGCTTTCCTATTGGCCAACAGTGCTTTATTCATTAACCAATACGAGAAACATATTTACAGAATGACATCTCCCACCAGGTTTGGTGTGCTACAAAAATTGAGATAAAGCCAGGCGATGGTGGTACGCTCTTTTAATCCCAGCATTTGGGAAGCAGAGACAGGCAGATCTCTGTGAGTTCAAGCCCAGCTGTGAGTGCCAGGAGAGGCTCCAAAGCTACATAGAAACTCTGTTTCGAAAAGCCAAAAAGAACAAAAGAGAGAGAGAGGCACAAAAATAACTTTTTGATGTATACAATTTTACTATGTTAAAGGTAAAACCCTTCTTTTTATTTAGACAGAAAAAGGGAGATGACGGGAAAGTCCTACTGTACATGTTTCTCTTATTGGTTGATGAATAAAACACTAATTGGCTAGTGGCAAGAGGAAGGATAGGTGGGGCTACCAGAGGAGGAGAATTCTGGGTTGTGTAGGCAGAGAGGAGTCATGAGGCAAAGGAGTTTCAGGTCCTCCATTTTCCAGTAAGCCAAGGCTACATGGAAATATATAGATTGGTAGTTATGGGTTAATAATTATGACAAAGCTAGCCAATAGTCACCGGCCAACCATTTCATAACTAACATATTGTGTGTGTGTTTATTTGGGGTTCCAGGGTGACAGAACACCTGCTGGGCTAGAAAACTTACATCAACAAAATGTAGCACCAACACTTGAGGCAGAGGTTCTAAGTTCAAGGTCAGCCTAGGCTACATAAACCCCATGTTGCAAAAAACAAACAATCAAGTAGATACAGAATAAACCATTGTTTCTGCATGTTCCAATTCTTGTAAAATTAAGGATTATATGAATAAACTTGCATACACACTCACACGTCAGACAAATGGAGGTCATAGGATTGTATTATGTAATGGATTTACAATGACTTTAAAACATACTTCAAACACTATTAGGCATATTTTATGCACAAAGTAGAATTAAGTGTAGAAAAGATCCGTGGTTGTCTTTTTATAGTTGATGTTTGTTTTACACTGTTTAGGTCAACACCACTAAAATTCAACTTAGACAAAATAAAATTTTGTATAAAGCCATAGAGACTTGTCATTCTTTAAGCCTTATGACATATTCTATTGACAGAAGAGAAGTCCTAGTCCCTACTTCAAATGGCTTGACAGATTTACATGACCCCACCTGGGTGGCATTGCCCTACATGTGGAATTGGGGTGGGGGGATGGGAGGAGAGGGTGGTCAGGGTTCATGTGAGGGGGAAGAGAGGGTAAGAGGGAGGGAGAGGGAACTGGGATTGACATGTAAAATAAAAAAATAATTTAAAAAAAAGTAAATAGTCAAAGCAAGAACCTGAAAGATCAGAGGAGGGGAGTAGCTATCAGTTACCCTGCATAAATTTCTGTCCTGACTTCTTTTGATGATGAACTGTGGAAGAGTAAGCCAAATAAACCTTTTCCTCCCCCAACCCCACAGAAAGAAAGAAAGATTTAAATGTTCATTATATTCATTTATTTTCTCTGTGTGTGGAAAGAACAGCTTGCAGGAGCTAGTTCTCTTTCCACCATGTGAAGTAAGGAATTGAACTCAGATCATTAGACTTGGTGGCAAATGCCTTTATCCACAGCCATCTCACTGTCTCTCTGGTCCAATATTTTAAATGCTCATAGGAACTATAAATGGAAATGTATGCCTTTTTCCTGGCTTTCTGGGTAGAAATGTTAATACAATCTGGAGGTAGGACACAGAGTCCCTTCATTGTTCCATTTGGTGAACAGACTACAAGACAGCATAACAGATTCAACACTGTGAGAGATGTTTATTTTGTGTTAGTGTGAAGACAATAAAAATTCACCATCAGCATTACCAAAAGACAAATCCCACTCTGAAATTTAGAATATTATTGAGATGCAGGGTCCATGGGAAATGGCATCCAAACTCTGGTGACAGTAGCATCTGATGAAGGCTTTCCCAGACAGCTTCAGTTGTAGTGGTCAGTAAATCGGAAAGATTTGGCTTCTGGCATGTTGTACAGGTTGCTCTGTAGCTGTTTGGAGCGCCGTGCTTCCAGTCGGAGCTGCCTGGCTCTCTCTTTGACAGCCTGTTGCTCTGCTATTTTTTCTATCTGTTTTCTTCTGAGCCATCTGTAGAAAGAGGTATGATCAGATTAGGTGAATATCACACCCTAAGCATCTCATCTATAAACATACAAAATTAACATTTCTACAATGAAATGGGGTCAAAAGACACATTGGTAATGTATTAACATTTCAAGCTTATTTCCCAGGCTCATTCAAGAAAGCAGTTTACCCTTGGAATCAAATGATCAAATGCCTGAAATTAGGTTTGTCTGTGATGAGACTGATGACTAACTTGGCTTAGTAGCAATCAAGCACAAGAATTTACACATGTTGTAAGTCCTATCCCTTTTCTAAAATATTTGCTATATTCCAAATACCACATTCCTTGAAATTAGCATGTAAAACAGTTCCGTTAAAAAAGATGCAAAACTGCTTCTTCTCTTCTAAGCAGGGAAATTTTAGAGCCTGTGCTCAGTAGATAGAGCAGCACAGCCCTTCCTCAAAATCAAAAAGGTGCCTAAGCAGGAAAAAGAGAAAGAAAATCTAAGCATCAAAAACAAATAAAGGAGGAGACCTTGGCTTAGTTCAAATAAGAACTAACTTTATCAACACAAATCGCAGAAACCCTACAAACTCATGAAAACTGAACAATGCACAAGTGCACCATACCTGGGTCAAAGAAGAAATAAAGAAATTAAAGACTTCCTAAAATTCAATGAAAATGAGGACACAACATACCTGATCTTATGGGACACCTTGAAAGCAGTGTTTCGAGGGAAGTTCATTGCACTAAGTGCCCATATGACAGAAACAAAGGATAGTCACATTAGAGAATTAACAGAGAAACTGAAAGCCTTAGAACAAAAAGAAGCAAACTCACCCTGGAGGAGTTGATCCTAGGAAATAATTTGAAGGCTGAAATCAATAAAATAGAAACCAGGAAAACAATACAAAAAAATCAATGCAACAAAGAGTTGGTTTTTTGAGAAAATCAACAAGATAGACAAACCTTTATCCAAACTAACAAAAAAGCAGAGAGAGAACATGCAAATTAACAAAATCAGAAATGAAAAGGGGAACATAGCAACAGACACAGAGGAAATCCAGACAATTTTCAGGTCATACTTTGAAAATCTGTATTCCACAAAATTTGAAAATTCAAAGGAAATGGACAAATTTCTGGATAACTATCACTTACCAAAATTAAATCAAGAACAGACAAACAACTTAAATAGACATATAACCCGCAATGAAATAGAAGCAGTCATTGAAAGCCTTCCAACCAAAAAAATCCCAGGGCCAGATGGATGAACTGAAGAATTCTACCAGAAATTCAAGGAAGAACTAATACCAATACTCTTCTAATTGTTCCACACAATAGAAACAGAAGGTTCATTACCAAACTCTTTCTACAAGGCCACAATCACCTTGGTACCCAAGCCACACAAAGACACAACTAAGAAAGAAAAATACAGACCAATATCCCTGATGAACATCGATGCAAAAATACTCAATAAAACACTGGCAAACCGAATCCAAGAATACATCAGAGAAATCATCCACCATGAGCAAGTAGGCTTCATCCCTGGATTGCAGGGATGGTTTAACATATGAAAATCTATCAACATGATCCACCATATAAACAAACTGAAAAAGAAAAACCATATGATCATCTCCCTAGATGCTGAAAAAGCCTTCCACAAAATTCAACACCCTTTCATGATAAAGGTCTTGGAGAGGTCAGGGATACACAGGAACATACCTAAACATAATAAAAGCAATATACAGTAAACCAACAGCCAACAGCAAACTGAATGGAGAGAAGCTTAAGCTGATTCCTCTAAAATCAGAAACAAGACAAGGCTGCCCTCTCTCTCCATATCTCTTCAATATTGTACTTGAAGTTCTAGCTAATGCTATAAGACAACAAAAGGAGATCAAGGGGATCCAAATTGGAAAGGAAGAAGTCAAACTTTCTCTATTTGCAGATGATATGATAGTTTACATAAGCAACCCAAAAAACTCTACCAGAGAATTCGTACAGCTGATAAACACCTTCAGAAAACTAGCAGGATACAAGATTAACTAAAAAAATCAGTAGCAGACGACAAAGGGGCTGAGAAAGAAATTAGAGAAACATCACCCTTTACAATAGCCACAAACAACATAAAGTATCTTGAGGTAATGCTTACCAAACAAGTAAAAGACCTATATAATAAGAACTTCGTGTCTTTAAAGAAAGAAATTAAAGAAGATACCAGAAAATGGAAAGATCTCTCATGCTCTTGGATAGGTAAGATAAACATAATAAAAATGGCAATCTTACCAAAAGCAATCTACAGATTCAATGCAATCCCCATTAAAATCTCACCACAATTCTTCACCGACCTTGAAAGGATAATAATCAACTTTATATGGAAAAACAAAACACCCAGGATAGCCAAAACAACCCTGTACAATAAAAGAACTTCAGGAGGCATCACCATCCCTGACTTTAAGCTCTACTACAGAGCTATAGTCTTGAAACAGCAAAAAATAGACAAGTAGACCAATGGAATCTAATTGAAAATCCTGATATTAACCCACACACCTACGAACACCTGATTTTTGACAAAACAGCTAAAAGTATACAATGGGAGAGGAAAGCATCTTCAACAATTGGATGAGGGTGTGTAGAAGACTGCAGATAGACCCATGTCTATTGCCACGCACAAAACTCAAGTCCAAATGGATCAAAGACCTGAACATAAATCCAGCCACACTGAATCTCTTAGAAGAGAAAGTAGGAGGTACCCTCGAACAAATTGGTGTAGGAGATCCACAATTAATAAATGGGACCTCCTCAAACTTAGACATTTCTGTAAGGCAAAGGACACAGTTGACAAGACCAAATGGCACCCCACAGACTGGGAAAAGATCTTCACCAATCCTACATCTGATAGAGGACTGATCTCCATTATGTACAAAGAACTCAAGAAACTAGTCAACAAAACCCCAAATATCCCTATGAAAAAATGGGGTACAGAAGTGAATAGAGAACTCTCAATAGAGGAAATCAAAAAGGCTGAAAGACACTTAAGAAAGTGCTCGACATCCTTAGTTATCTGGGAAATGCAAATCAAAACAACTTTCAGATACCTGCCAGAATGGCTAAAATTAGAAACACCAATGACCACTTATGCTGGAGAGGATGTGGAGAAAGGGGAACACTCCTCCACTGCTGGTGAGAGTGCAAACTCATACAGCCATTTTGGAGATCAGTACGGCGATTCCTCAGGAAAGTGGGAATTAGTTTACAACAGGACCCAGCAATCCCCTTCTTAGGCATATATCCAAATGATCCATGTCCATGCAACAAAGACATGTGTTCAACTAAGTTCATAGCAGCATTATTTGTAATAGCAAGAACCTGGAAGCAACCTAGATGTCCCTCAACTGAAGAATGGCTAAAGATGTGGCACATCTACACAATGGAATACTACTCTGTGGAAAAAAACAATGGAATCTTGAAATTCGCAGGCAAGTGGATGGAACTTGAAGAAACCATCCTGAATGAGGTAACCCAGTTACAAAAAGAGGAACATGGTATGTACTTGCTCATATATGGATTTTAGACCTAGAGCAAAAGATCACCAACAAACAGTTTGAGCAACAGTGGAAAGGATACCATAAATGCCCTTCCCTGATAATGAGATCAACAACTAACTTATTCACCATCATGGAGCCCTCATCTAGTACCTGTTGGAAACAGAAGCAAACACCCACAACTAAACACTGAGTCGAACTAGAATCCAGATGCAGAGAGAGAGGATAAGACCAAGTTGCAAAAACACATAGAGACAGCTGACCTGAACAAGGAGGAGCTAATGGGCCCCCAGACTGATAGCTGGGAATCCAGCATGGGACTGACTCAGATCCCCTAAACATGGGTCTCAGCTAGAAGGCCTGAGCAGGCTATGGGACCTCAGACAGTGGAATCAGGTTATATTCCTGGTGCACAAAAGGACCTTGCGGGCACATCCCCCATGGAGGGATACTCCCTTAATCTAGAGACAGGAGAGAGGTCCTAGTCCCTACTTCAAATGACTTGACAGATTTATATGACCCCTCCTGGATGGCATCACCCTATATGTGGAGTGGGGGGGATGGGAGGGGAGGGTGGTCAGGATGCATGTGAGGGGGGGAGAAAGGGAGGGAAGGAGAGGGAACTGGGATCGATATGTAAAATAAAAATAAAATAAGAAGGTTAATTGGAAAAAAAGAAATTTATATGCATGTATCTGGCATTTAAGTGTGTGTGTGAATATATATATGGATATATACATATATATCCATATATATATATATGTATATATATATCCAGAAATAACCCAAACAAGTGTAAAAAAAATCATTCTTTCTTTCTGGATCATGAATTGTTTTTTACTTTAATCAAATTACCTGTTGTAAGACTTTAGAAACAATATGATCACAGTGTGTGTGTGTGTGTGTGTGTGTGTGTGTGTGTACATATATTTTGTTTTTTTGAGACAGGGTTTCTTTGTGTATCCCTGGCTGTCCTGAAACTTGCTGTATACACCAGGCTGACCTCAAACTCACAAAGATCTGCCTGAGCTGAGTGCTGGGATTAAAGGCATGCACCACCATCACCACCACCTGACAGCAATATATCTTCTCATTATGAATATGTTTGCAAAAATATATTTATAAGATGGGCATTCTAGTGCTAATAGTCATGATCATATTTCTGGATGATGAAAGTAATAAAAGGTTGAGAGAGACAGAGAGAGGAAGAGAAGGAAGGAATGAAGGAGGGAGCGAGGGAGAGGGAAGGAGAGAAAGGAAGGAGGAAGGAACTTCACTGTATTCTCCAACTTTCCCAGAGGCTAAAGCTCTGAAGTGGGGTCTGTATGCTCAGGATCAAAGAGATAACAGATAACGGAGAAGAAACTGTATTAGCTTTTGCACACTGCGCAAAGGTGCATTAACCTACTGCTTAAAAGCCCTCTCGCGGCCCTCTGTTCCTCTCAGAAAGAACAAACACTCCTCTTGCTTCCTGAGTTCCTCTGTCTTCCTTTCTTTCATCTGCTCTTCATGCTTTTTCTTCAGCCATAATCGAAAAGCTTGTTGTGGGTCTCTGTTCACTTGCTGAGTAGAAAAAAACAAAAACAAAAACAAGATTTGCTTAATTTAAATGAACTAGGTCTCTGGTCCCCATTGAGAGCACCCTTGGAGCTCTGATACACCCCCACCCATCCCAACCTCCAGCCTACCCCCCCCCACCCTGTGCCCTACCCCACCTAAGGTCCTGCCTCTCTGGTTGAGCACTGGGACAGAGGGTGGAGCCAACAGTCCACCCTACTTCGGAGACTTCTCGGAGCAACTCCGAACAAAGGAGACCTGACTATCCACCTGGGACCACCTGTAATTTCCACCGGCTTGGTCTCTGACCCCGCCTCCAGTCCTCTGCTGGAGTCCCGGGCCCTCCCAGAGATCCGCCTATCTCTGCGGGTCCACTCGGAGTTCCTGCAGGCAAGATCCTTGACCCCCAAATCCGGGCCCCTGCCAAAGAATGAGGTCTCAGCTGGAGAGCTCCAGTTTCCAGTGAGATCCCACTACCCTGCAAAACCTTCTCAAGTTCAAGCTCAGCCCTCGTCCTCTTCTGCCGGTCATTGGCCAGAGCTATTGGCCAGAGGACCACTGTGAGTACCTGCTGGCATCTTCTTCTGGATCCTCATCCTTGACCCCATCTCTGGATCCCTGTCTGCAGAGAAACCTCCTAAAGAGCTTGGACCACACAGAGCTATAGATATTGAATCTTTGATCCACATAAGCCCATTGGGGAAGGACCATAGAGAGAGGGAAGAGACACCACCAACACCTACTGGAAGAAACTATGGGAAGAAGGCAATACAAGAGAACACCTAACAACAGAAAGACAAACATGACACCACCAGAATCTAGGGAATCTACACCAACTAGAATGGAACACAACAACAAAGCAGAGGAAGCAGAAGGGTACTACTTAAAAATTACCATCATAAAAATGATAGAGGCCCTCAAAGAAGATATGAGAAAATCCCTTAAAGAAATGGAGGAAAAAACAAACAAAAAAGTGGAAGAAATGAACAAATTCCTTAAGGAAAGTACAGAAAGCCAAGAAAAAATAATTAACCAGGTGAAGGAAACGGTTCAAGACTTGAAAACTGAAATTGAGAAAATAAAGGCAACACAAATGGAAGGAAAGCTGGAAATTGAAAAGCTGGGCAAAAAATCGGAAACCACGGACACAAGCATAACCAATAGAATTCAAGAGATGGAAGAGAGAATCTCAGGCGCAGAAGATAAACTAGAAGAAATAGATTCATCGACCAAAGAAAACCATAAATCCAACAAATCCTTAACACAAAACATCCAGGAAATGTGGGACACCATTAAAAGGCCAAACCTAAGAATAATAGGCATAGAAGAAGGTGAGGAAGCCCAGCTCAAAGGTGCTGAAAACATATTCAACAAAATCATCGAGGAAAACTTTCCAAATCTGAAGAAGGACATGTCCATGAAAGCATAAGAAGCATACCGAACCCCAAATAGGCTGGACCAAAGAAAAAAGACCCCTCGACATATAATAATCAAAACACCTAGCATACAGAATAAAGAAAGAATATTAAGAGCAGCGAAGGAAAAAGGACAGGTAACATATAAAGGCAGACCTATCAAAATTACACCTGACTTCTCCATGGAAACCCTCAAGGCCAGAAGGTCCTGGATAGATGTTCTACAAGTATTAAGAGAACACGGATGCCAGCCTAGGCTACTATATCCAGCAAAACTCTCAGTCAATATAGATGGAGAGAACAAGATATTCAATGACAAAACCAGATTTTCCCAATATGTATCTACAAATCCAGCCCTACAGAAAGTATTGGAAGGAAAATTCCAACCCAAGGAAGGTAGCTATGCCCACAAAAATGTAGGCAACAGATAATCCAACTACACCAGAAACCTAGGGTGAAGCAGAACAAATATATTCACAATACCACTGCCAACAACACACCTAAATCAAACAAGCATCAACAATCAATGGACCTTACTCACCCTCAACATTAATGGTCTTACCTCACCTATAAAAAGACACAGGCTAACAGAATGGATACGAAGACAGAATCCATCCTTCTGCTGCATACAAGAAACACATCTTAGCTCCAAAGATAGACATTACCTCAGGGTAAAGGGTTGGGAAAAGTTTTTCCAATCAAATGGAAATAAGAAGCAAGCAGGCGTAGCTATCCTAATATCTAACAAGTTAGACTTCAAACCAAAACTAGTCAAAAGAGATGAAGACAGTCATTTCATATTCATCACAGGAGAAATCTATCAACACAAAGTCTCAATTCTGAACATCTATGCCCCAATACAAAGTCACCCACATTCGTAAAAGAAACGCTACTAAAACTCAAAGCTCATATAAAACCTCACACACTTATAGTGGGAGACTTCAATACACCACTCTCAACACTAGACAGGACCACAAATCAGAAACTCAACAAAGAAACAAAAGAATTAACAGAAGTTATTTCTCAACTGGGGATAACAGACATCTATAGAACATTCCATCCAAAGACAAAAGAATATACCTTCTTCTCTGCTCCACATGGAACCTTCTCTAAAATCGACCACATACTAGGAGACATAACAAACCTCAACAGATACAAGAGAATAGGAATAGTCCCCTGTATCTTATCGGACCACCATGCTTTAAAATTGGAATTCAACAACAACACAAATAGCAGAAAACCTGCAAACTCATGGAAACTTAACAATGTGCAATTGCACCACTCCTGGGTCAAAGAAGAAATAAAGAAAGAAATTAAAGACATTCTAATATTCAACGAGAATGAGGATACAACATACCCGAACTTATGGGACACCTTGAAAGCAGTGCTACGAGGGAAGTTCATTGCACTAAGTGCCCATATGAAGAAAACAGAGGATAGTCACATAAATGAATTAACAGCCCAACTGAAAACCTTAGAACAGAGAGAAGAGAATTCACCCCGCAGGAGCAGACGCCAGGAAATAATCAACTTGAGGGCTGAAATCAACAAAATAGAAACCAGGAAAACAATACAAAAAATCAATGCAACAAAGAGTTTGTTTTTTGAGAAAATCAACAAGATAGACAAACCTTTATCCAAATTAACGAAAAAGCAGAGAGAGAACATGCAAATTAACAAAATCAGAAACGAAATGGGGAACATAACAACAGACACAGAGGAAATCCAGACAATTTTCAGGTCATACTTTGAAAATCTGTATTCCACAAAAATTGAAAATTCAAAGGAAATGGACAAGTTTCTGGATAACTATCACTTACCAAAATTAAATCAAGAACAGACAAACAACTTAAATAGACCTATAACCCGCAATGAAATAGAAGCAGTCATAGAAAGCCTTCAAACGAAAAAAAGTCCAGGGCCAGATGGATTCAGTGCAGAATTCTACCTGACATTCAAGGAAGAACTAATACCACTACTCCTCAAACTGTTCCACAAGATAGAAACAGAAGGTTTATTGCCAAACTCTTTTTATGAGGCCACAATAACTTTGGTACCCAAACCTCACAAAGACACAACTAAGAAAGAAAACTACAGACCAATATCCCTGATGAACATCGATGCAAAAATACTCAATAAAATAATGGCAAACCGAATTCAAAAATACATCAGAGAAATCATCCACCATGATCAAGTAGGCTTCATCTCTGGATTGCAGGGATGGTTTAACATATGAAAATCTATCAACGTGATCCACCATATAAACAAACTGAAAAAGAAAAACCATATGATTATCTCCCTAGATGCGGAAAAAGCCTTCGATAAAATTCAACACCCTTTCATGGTAAAGATATTAGAGAGGTCAGGGATAACAGGAACATACCTAAACATAATAAGAGCAATATACAGCAAACCAACTGCCAACATCAAACTGAATGGAGAGAAACTTAAGCCAATTCCTCTAAAATCAGGAACAAGACAAGGCTGTCCTCTCTCTCCATATATCTTCAATATCGTACTAGAAGTTCTAGCTAATGCTATAAGACAACAAAAGGAGATCAAGGGGATCCAAATAGGAAAGGAAGAAGTCAAACTGTCTCTATTTGCAGATGATATGATAGTTTACATAAGCGACCCAATAAACTCTACCAGGGAACTCCTACAGCTGATAAACACCTTCAGCAAACTAGCAGGATACAAGATAAAATCAAAAAATCAGTAGCCCTATTTTTTTCAGACGACAAAGAGGCAGAGAAAGAAATCAGAGAAACATCACCCTTTACAATAGCCACAAGCAACATAAAGTATCTTGGTGTAACGCTTACCAAACAAGTAAAAGATCTATATAATAAGAACTTTGTGACTCTAAAGAAAGAAATTAAAGAAGATACCAGAAAATGGAAAGACCTCCCATGCTCTTGGTTAGGTAGGATAAACATAATAAAAATGGCAATCTTACCAAAAAGCAATCTACAGATTCAATGCAATCCCCATTAAAATCCCACCACAATTCTTCACCAACCTTGAAAGGATAATAATCAACTTTATATGGAAAAACAAAAGACCCAGGATAACCAAAACAACCCTATACAATATAAGAACTACAGGAGGCATCACCATTCCTGACTTTAAGCTCTACTACACAGCTATAGTTCTGAAAACAGCCTAGTATTGGCATAAAAATAGACAGGTAGACCAATGGAATAGAATTGAAAATCCTGATATTAATCCACGCACCTATGAACACCTGATTTTCGACAAAACAGCTAAAATTATACAATGGGGCAAAGACAGCATCTTCAACAAATGGTGCTGGCACAATTGGATGAGGGTGTGTAGAAGACTGCAGATAGACCTATGTCTGTCGCCATGCACAAAACTCAAGACCAAATGGATCAAAGACCTCAACATCAATCCAGCCACATTGAACCTCTTAGAAGAGAAAGTAGGAGGTACCCTTGAACAAATTGGTATAGGAGACTGCTTCTTGAACATAACTCCAGGGGCACAGACACTGAAAGAAACAATTAATAAATGGGACCTCTTCAAACTTAGAAGCTTCTGTAAGGCAAAGGACACATTTGACAAGAC